CCCTTCCTCCTTCAACCCGACCATTTGAACTTTGTACATCCTTTTCAAGGTTGGCACTAGAGTATTTTCTCAAACGAGCACTACCACCATGACGAACCCGATGGTAGTCTTCCAAACTCACCTATTTTCTGTAGACAAAAATATGTGATTCGTGTGTAGATATTTATCAATTAACATAATCAATTAAATAACATAAACATAACATTAATAAATATAATTTAACTATAATCATAAACATAAGAATTCAACAAGAATATAAAATATAAGTAGAAAGTTAGAGAAGCAAGCCTCAGGGAGCCACGTCAAGGACGATGTCCTAAAGTCGTGTTACCTCTCCTTTGTACGGGAACCTTCAACACTAAACGGTTCCAAGATAAAATCCATATAGATCACGTCCGGTTCTCCTTCTATGGACACGACCACATGGAGATAAAGGAGTCTTTTATCGAGTTGCCAAAATAGAGGAAAATAATATGAAATGTAGATATAGAATTTTTTTCATGTTATATTTTTTTATCTGTATATCTCAATGAAAATCACTCCCTTTTATAGGGATAAATTTAACTGATACAATATGAATATTAAACCAATTAGAATGTAAGTTACACACTAGGAATTATTAGTTTTAGTTTTGTATTAAACTGAAAATTAAAATCAAAATAGAAAATTAAAAGGTTTTAATTTGAAAGTTTAAATCTTTTATTCTTAAGTTACAACATTTTTCACCTTGACCATTCATGCTCCTGCTGTCTTGTTTAACAAAATATTCGTGGTACTCCTTGTTTCCCTTCCCCAACACATATATTTGTTCTTGAAAATCCTCGATTTTCTGACTCAGCATGTACTACATGTCATCCTTGTAAGGATTTTAATCGAACATATGGGCTTATATGTGAAATATTGTGTATTAAATTAAAGACTATCAATTTTGGTTAAGCCTATTTAAAATAATCTAATAAAGTTTTAGTATTTTGAGTTTTGAAGCATCCAATTAAAGTGTGGGCATTTATGTGTAGAGACTAGACATGTTCATAATTTCATGATAGGCCGAATTAAGTCAATGGGCCGTTAATATATATATACGGTTATGGTCCCCAGATCACATGTGAATTGTTCATTCTATTCTGACTCCTATCATCAAAGAGAAATAAAGAATTACTTGTTGACCTGGAAGACAAACTGTAGGATTCATCATTGTGATAACCATGTCTGATTGAGGCAAGCTTCCGCTTCAGTTTACAAATTTTTGATGATACAATATGAACGATCATTATGACAGTAAAGAATTTTCCCAACAAGTAGTATCAGAGTCAATTCATGTTGAATCATTGAGAATCGAAATTTTAATTTCATTCTTATGATAATTTCATTATTTTCGAATTTAGCAATCCAGATTTAGTTTTTGTTAAATTTAAATTTTTTTCCCGGCATGTTTTCCATGATTCAGTTCTTTTTTTAAAAAATAAAAATAAAAATTTTTAAATCCGCTGCAGATTGCAGCGCTCGGAGCTGTTGCTATTGTAGCGGCAGGGCCGATTGTTTCTTCAGGCTGTTTTGAGTTTAAAATTTATCCAATTGAGCCTTTAAAGTTTTGGGTTTAATAATTCTGTCCCCAAAGTTTGAAAAATTAATTAATTTTGGCAATTAAAACTTTGAATTTTGTAATTAAGCCCGTAAAAGTTCATAATTTGTTTAAATTGGCCCCTAAAGTTTTGAATAATTAATTTTTGGACCCTTAAAGTTTCGAATAATTTATTATTGACCCCTAAAGTTTGGGATAATTAATTTTTGATCCCTAAAGTTCATAATTATTAACCTTTAGGCTCGTAAAGTTTCAAGATAAATTAAGCCTCCGTTTGACACCAATTTTATTCTCTCTCTCTTTCTCTTTCTCATTTTTTTTTCTCTTTCTTCATTTCAACCACATTTTATCAATAAAGTAATACTACACATAAACCCAAAAATTCTCATTACTTTTTAACCACACATTCTTCCATCAATCACTATTCCAGAATTTATTTTTTAAAAAAAATGGGTGTCAAACAAGGGCTAAATATGCAAATTCGGTAATTTTCTTTTTCAAATTTTGGTAAAAAGGACTCTTTTGAGAGGTATAATATTTAAAGTGAATTAATTGAAGCAAAATGTTGCCAAAGCAACATCTCTTGTGGAAATAATTATTTTAGAATATTAAAAGGTGTTTGTGTGTATTATTCATGCGAATATTTGATCGGCCCAAATGAATGTCAATATTTGGCCGAATTGTACATGCACCTGTGGTGAAAAACATGTAGCGATTATTTGGTTTAACGTGTGATCAATAAATCGGTCCAAAGAAAGATTTATTGATTGACATGTTTCTTTATTGTCAGTGTTTGATCACTACACCAAGAGTACCACTTACAAGTCAATATTTATATCCAAAGACTAAATATTGATGTTGTGCTAGGTATCTTGTGATGGTCCCTACCATTATTTGAAATTATTATTTGCATATTAAGGATTGTGAGCTCTTCCGATTAATTGTTATCTAATTACGTTTAAGGTTCTGCTGCTAATATCTCTGCT